CAATTTTTTTAATAACTTGCCTTCGTCAACAACCAAATTAGCATATTTTCTGTCCAGCAACAATTCTTTTCAACCATTTCTTCTTAAATCATCAACAAGTCTACTTAACCTTTCCAACATTCTTCTACTCAAAATACTTCCTTAATAGTAAATTTTTTATTTTACTACGTAAATTTTTTATTTTACTACGTAAATTTTTTATTTTCGCCAAGGGGGAATTTAAAAGAGTAAGGAAGTATTTTTGAATGCCGGGATTATTTACTCAGTCAATTTGTAATTTAACCAAAACAGACCTTTGCAAATGATTAATAATGCTTCCCGAAGCATACCGGGAAAAATTGATTTGTCGCAAAGCAAAAAAGAGAGTAGCATTAGCACAAACATGGGTTCCTAAAAGTTGTCAAACATGGGTTCCTAAAAGTTGTCAAACATGGGTTCCTGCTTCTTGTCGTGGACTAACTCAAACTATTTTCTCATGGTTGAGGTCAAGGTCGGAAATGAGTACGCTTTGTGGTTGAACCTCTGGTAATTTGTATTCCATTTTAACTTTTTCACTTATATACTTACTGGGTTCAGTGTATTTAGTTAAAAAATAAAGATTGGTCAGAACTCCACTATTGATTCAAGGGATTGTTTTTTTTTCTTGATAATTAAGGTCACTAATACTGGAATTAACTAACTCAATTCTTTCAATCACTAATTCACAAGCTTGTTGCCGTTCCGGAGTAAGAACTAAACAACCAGAGACCAATAAACTGCCGCCAAAATTTACTTTACTTAGTAAGTCAGTTTGCAGAAAATTTTTTTGCGAAATAACTAATTGCAGAGTTTTCAGAGTTGAACCATCATTTAAAGTAATAAAAATTTTTTCTTTCCCTTCTCGAACTGATTTTACTCAACCACCAACTTTAATTTGGGCTAATTGACTAATTTTTTCTGGATTGTGGTAAATTTCCCTAATACTGAACAGCATTTACTTTATTTTTTGTTTAAACTAAATGGCACTAGCGAATAGGAAGACCAACCAAGGGTCGAATATAGAAAACTTTTGGAAAACTTACGTTGTTCTCAATTAACAATTAGAATAAAATATCTTACTTCTTGTTTATCTAATTTAAGTAAAAAATTACAAAAAATTATGGCCTCTTTTCAACGTTTCTGACCCACACATAATTTTTTTGCTTTTATTTCTTAATCTCTAATCATCATCTCTTTCGAATTATAATCACAAGTCAATATTAAACAAACATTATGTGTTAAGAAAGAAATAGAAAGAAATAACTAATATTTAGAATATTAATAAAAGAAGAAAAATATATATAAAGTAATAATAACATATGGATATGCAACAAGAAATAGTCACCCTAAAAGGTCGTTTAAAGCAGAATGTTATTTTAAAAGTGAGTGTTAATAATGATGAGTATTATTCAGCACCCTTAGAAGTCATAGAAACCGAAAAAAGAGGGGAGGTAGCCGAAAATGATGTTGATTCGTTATTTCTCATTTTTTGGAAAAAGAACTTTGATGAGCCTACGCAACGAGCCATTGCTAATTTAAAAGAAAACCAAAACATTACAGTGCATGGTCATTACGGAGGAACAAATAATGGATTATTGCGGGTAACAGAAATAGATATTGAAGAAGAAATATTTATTTAATTGACCGAAAATTTTTGATAAAAGAGGGAATTAAGTAATCTTTTGGTTTATATTTAGTTCTGAAAAGTAGAAATAGGTGAATAAGGGAAAAATTAAAGTAATTATAAAGAATGTCTAAGCCGCGATTTTTTACTGGTATTCAGCCAACTGGTTTGTTAACCCTAGGTCATTATTGCGGAGTAATTCGTCACCTTGTTTCGCTCCAAGATAATTACGAAGTGATTATTATGATCGCTGATCTACATGCTTTCACGGTTCCTAATTCTGTCCTAAATTATCACGAAAGATGTTATGAAATGGCCGCACTTCTTTATGCATGCGGCTTAAAAGAAGAAAATTGTAAAATCTTTTGTCAATCCCAAGTGCCTGAACACTTGTTTCTGGCTCATTTGTTATCCCCTTTTGTTACGGTTGGTTCCTTGTCGCACATGATTCAATACAAGGAAAAAAAGAAAAATGAGGAAACAGGCAACCTAGCCTTATTGTCTTACCCCGTATTAATGGCGGCCGATATTCTCCTTTATGATGCGGATTTAGTAATTGTTGGCCAAGACCAAAGACAGCACTTAGAGTTAACTAGCATTATTGCTCGTAAGTTCAATAATTTTTTTGGGCAAAATTTATTAAAAATTCCCCAGTTTATCATCCCGGATCAAGGGGCAAAAATAATGGATTTGCGAAATCCAACAAAAAAAATGTCGAAAAGTGAAACCGACCACATTTCCTTATTGGATACACCCGAAATCATTAAAAAAAAAGTGGCTCGGGCGGTTACGGACTCAGAAAACAAAATCTATTACCACCCCAGAAAAAAGCCCGGACTTTCGAACCTACTAACTATTTATGCTCTCCTGAATGGTTGGGAAATAAGCGAAGCTGAGAAAAATTTAACTGGGCTTGGTTATGACCAATTTAAATCAAAACTTACGCAATTAGTTAGTGATAAACTCGTCGCCATCCAGAAAAATTATGATTTTTGGCGAACTATGATTGAAGTATTGTTAGAAAAAAACACCAATTATTTACGGACACAAGCCGGAAACAAAGTCAATTTGCTGAAAAAAGAATTAAAAATCTTTTCACTGCCTAGAAAAAACGGTAAAGAACAAAATAATTAGTCCTTTTTACAACACTTCGGGAGCCAATGAAAAGATTTTTTTATAACCTCAATAATCAAACTCCGTCAACACAGGCACAAAAATTCGAGTTCCTATTGGTTCCTTAATAGAACTTAACTTCAATTTTCCTTTTTTTCCTTCCTGATCGGGTTTCCTCCTTTCGCTTTTCAATAAAACGGCACAATTTTTACTAAACTTGATTCAAGTATTATTCAAACGGCGAAAGTGCTTCTTACTAGTAACAATCAAGGCTATAACTATTTGCCCTTTTTCGATATCAGAATGGGGGTCGGCTTTTTTTACGGTGGCGATTACCAAATCACCGATCCGGCTAAATTTACGATTGGATCCACCTAAACAGCGAATTACCAACAACTTTTTCGCTCCCGAATTATCTGCTACCGTCAAAATTGACTCATTTTGTAACATAATTATTTATTATTTTTTTTTACTTCTCTCTTTCACTAATCAATAATATAGTATTCAACCTTTTTTCTCCTCGCCCTTTTCGCTGCACCAAAAACCAACAACTCGATTGTTAAAAATTAGGAAAGTTGTGGATAAATTAAGCATTTCTAAATTAATTGACCAAGTCTAAGAATAAATAGTTATCGTCGTGGTTTATTTAACCAAGAAATTAATTGAGTTAGATTTTTTTCAACTTCGTAGTCAATTAATTTGTGAAAAATTTCTTCGCAATCGCCTTCCATAATGCTAGTCAATTTTTTTCAATCACAGTTGAGGCGATGGTCGGTTACTCGATTTTGGGGTCAATTATAGGTGCGAATTTTTTCGGCTCGTTCAGAAGAGCCAATCATGGCTAAGCGCAAATCATTTTCCGATTTTTTTTTTCGTTGTTGGTGGTCTTCATACAAGCGAATTTTTAAGACAGAAAGAGCATTGGCTTTATTTTCGTTTTGGTTACGTCCTTGCTGAGAAGTGGCAGTTAGGCCGGTGGGAATATGGGTAATTCTCACAGCTGAATCAGTAGTGTTCACGTGTTGTCCACCGGGACCGCTGGCCCGATAAGTCTCAATTTTTAAATCTTTACCCGTAATTTTTAAATCAATTTCTTGTGGTTCAGGCAAAATTACCACGCTGGCGGTGGAAGTATGAATACGCCCTTTGTTTTCAGTATCGGGAACTCGCTGAACTCGGTGGATTCCGGCTTCACTTTTCAGTCACTTAAAAACTCCTTTTCCTCTAACTAAAAAAGTGATTGCGACGAATCGACCCTGGTAATCAAACCTACTCTCAGTTATTTTCACTACTCAACCCCTCCTTTTAGCAAAACCGTAATACATATTATAGAGATCATTAGTGAATAATCCAGCCTCCTTTCCTCCGGTCCCCGGACGGATTTCTACTAACACTCCTCGTTCTCCTTCTTCTTTTTCAGTAAATTCAATCAACTTTTCTTTTACTTGATTAATTAGTTCTTCTTTTTGCTTTTCTAGTTCTCTAATTTCAACTTTAAGAACACTTTTTCCTTCGAAACTAGTTTCCTGACTAATTAATTCTTGGTATTCAGTTTGCAATGCTTTTATTTCTTCATATTCTTCTTTTTTTTCCTGCAAAAAGCGTATTTTCTTATCGCTTAATTGTTCGGAAAAAAAAGAGGTTCTAATTTTGTCTGAATTCATAATATCAAAGAGAATTATAAAATTTTTAACGAGGTTATAGGTTTTTGCGTAAGTAATTAATGAAAAGAGTGGAAAAAGTAAACTTAGAGATTTTTTTATTTTTTTGGAGTAGGGGTTGAGGAAGACAGTCCCCAATAAAAGGTGTTTCCCCGTGGTCAGCCGAGCGACAAAAATATAGATTAACTTTTTTCTGATTAGCAGGATTTTTTTGTAACTTGTTTCAAATGCGTCAAGAGGCTTTTCAGTTAATAATTGAGTCTTCAAGACCATGAATTAGCAATAATTTCAAGGGCAGGAGAGAAGGTAAGGCGTCTAGGGGATTAACTTTAGCCAAATCAGCCAGAAAAACGCGTAGGGAACGCTGAACTATTTGACTAGCAAAATATTCTTTTAAGTAATAATTTTCTTTCCCTCCCAAGGTAAATTTTCATTGCCGAGAAAAGTTATCAAAAGGGGCTTCGCAAATAGCCATAGCCGCCGAAGAATTTTTTTCTTGACTAGCAAAATAACTTATTCAAAAGAGACAAGTGGCCGCCCCCATCGAAAAACCATAGAGACCGATTTTTTTTGGGCAGTATTTTTTTTGCACGTAATTAATTATGTCCTGTAAATCGCTTGCCTCAACTTGTCCTAAACTAGTATAAGATTTTTCGGAGAGACCGTGATTACGAGCATCATAAGTAACTACTTGATAACCAATTTGAAGAGCCAAATGCATGCAATAAAAGAGCGACCAACGATTATTAGTAACTCCGTGACAAAAAATAAGAACTTTTTGATTATGGGAGTTTAGCAAAAGAGGCCGTAAACTAGTGCCCCGCAAAACTATTTTATCTTGGGTAGTGTTAATTTCAAAATCCTCTCGTAATCCTAATTCAGACAAAAAGTCAAAATATTTTTCGTAAGCCGAAAAATTGACATAATGCTTTTTAGTGGTTAAAAGTAAATTTATTTTTTTGTTAATCTCGGCAATAGAGCTTTGAACCTCCGAAAAAGTGGGATTAGATCGAGAAAGTGTCAAAACACTATTCATGCGATTAAACACTCTTTTTACCCATTTCCATTTTTTTTGTAACATATCGTTTTATTCAATAAACTTGTGTTGATTAACACTTTTTCCAAACCTCTCTCTTTTTTTTAACTAACAAGTAACAAATCACAGAAAGACATTAATTATTTTTCTCATCTCCACAAAGGAATTTTATAAATTCAAATTTGCCTAATAGCCAAAAAGAGAAAAAATAAAATTACTAGTAAAAGTGCTAATTTAACTTTTCATCTCTTCCGCATTCATTTTCCCCAAGTTCATTTTTCTTTAATAATTGGTTCTTGTGGCTTTTCCTCTTCTAGTTTTCATTCTTCTTGGTTTGGCTTTTGATATCAATTCATAAGTAGCATTTTCGCTGAGGAATTTCAAATCCAATCTCTTCCCTAAACATTTTACACAAATACATAAAATTAAAAATTATAAAATGAATTTTATTGATTAATAAAAAATTAATAATATAATAAATATAAATATTATGCCGAAAAAAATTACCATAAATTTAGAAGAATGAAAAGAGAAAAATAAGTGGGTAGAGAAACCACTCAGCCTTTCTGAGAATGGGAAAGAAAATTGAGAAGATTATAAAAAGAAGTTAGAAGAATTAATGATTGAAGAATTCGGTCAAAATAAAGAAGCCATTTTACATAAGGAAAAAAAAGAATTGGAAAGTCAATTGGCAGTGGAACAAAATAACCAGCAAGCCCAAATTACTGTAAATCTCCAAACGAACTAAAAAACGGGGAAAGAATACTATGAGTAGAAAACATATATGACGTCCAAAAACAAAATTAACTGCTAGTTTTTCGTTTAGCAGCCATTTGTCTACATACGTGACTACTTTTTTACAGGAATGGTAACTCCTAGCACGGAATTTTCATATGCTAGTACCCTTGCTGAAAATCATTCAACTGGCGTACGCAATTTGTTGGTTCCGATTGGTGGTGGAGTGGCTTTTCTAACAGTGTTTTTAGTAGTATTAGGTATCTTTGCTCTTACTTACTGTCCGAGGAGGAAAGGAAGGAGAATTGCAGAAGAACCCTGAGAGAATCAACCAATTCCTAACACACCTAGGGCTCCTGGAGCACGAAGAGGATTTACAAGCGAATAAAAATAACAAATTATTATGCCAAGCTGAACAACAAAATTTACTGTGCGAACTTTTTTAGTTTTTCATTCGTCCGGATTTCGCTTGATGTTTTCAAAAATAGCAGTTCTTATCTCATTTTTTCTTCCTTGTTAAAACAACCCCATAATCCGCTGTCCTTTCAAGTTTCATAATCAATAGTATTTTTTTTTGGCTAATTCTTGAATTATTTCTTCCTTAATTTTGATTTTGGTCTCGTGAGTTATTGTTAATTGTTGGTCTGCTGGCATAAAGCTTATTATGATTTACAAATGTTAACCTTGCGAGATAGTTTAAAAAAGGAGATTTACGAAGTTGCCAGGAAAGTATGTGTCAACTTTCACACGCCTTAGCAGAGATATTAGAACAGAGAAAGAAACAAAAGAAAATATAAAATTATTATAGCATATAATAATTTAAATAAGAAAAAAATAATTATGAATAAATTAACCTCCTTCTGCCACCTAATCCAAATCCTCTGTTCTCTCCGAATAGTTAGTCCCTCCTTAATTCGTTCGGTCAATCCCGAGACTTATACTTTTTATTGTTCGTATAATCCCGAAAATGAGGACATAAATAAATGTGCAATTTAATAAAATGTAGTTGCTATCGAAGAATATGCGGTGTAATGGCGAGTTGAGTTTGCTCGTCGGGAGGAGTAGGATTGGGTTCTGCTGTGGCATTAGGAGCAATAGGATTAAGTTTTGCCCCCTTGACTGGCGGTGCTTCGTTATCACTCGAAGCAGCACTGGGTAGTTATCTTGGTTTTACTTTCGGTTGCGGTACATTAGTACAATCAGCTCAAGTTCTCGGTGTGAATGTCCACGAGAGTATCGGGAAATAGTTAATGAACTAAGAGAAAGGTGAAGGAACGAACAAAGAGTTAATAGAATTAATGTTGAAGAAAGAGAAACTTTACAAATAGTTGAAACGACTGAAAACGCAAACCCTATTTTACAAGATCAAAGTGTTAGTGAAAGTGAAGAAGAAACAAACCTTTCACAGAGTTCACAAAGCGAAACAAGCGGAGATGACTATTCAGAAATGCTTAATCAAGAGGCAACTAATCCTGACTCAACAATTTTTACCAATATTCCGAGAGAAGACATATTAGTCATGGGCCAACACCTCGATACATTAGTGGATCAAAGCAATGGTAACAATGAATATGAGTTTGAAATAAGATCTGACAGAGGTTTTTCCTATCTTTTAAGGTCTAGAAGAAGAGCAAATAATTAAAGGCGTCATGAGAAAAAATAATCAAGTCACAAAACACCAACCTAATGGTTCAGAAAAAGAAAGAAAGAATAATAATTTCTCCACTTTTTCAATAAGTTTAAGTGGAGGCCCTGTTAATAGTTCAAAGGAAAAAAAAACTCTATGAAAGAAAGAGATTATTTTTTCCCAAAACGGAGAAAGTAGTCGGCAACCAATCGAAATTCGAGAAACTTATGAAAAAGATAATAAAATAGTTGATAAATTTAGAAAAACTTCTTTTTTCGGACAATTAAAAATAAGTGATTTTTATCGCAATAATTCTGTCGAAAATAAAGAAAAAAAAAGAGAAGGGGGACAAACAATGCTTTCCCCAATGACAAATACTAGTAGAAATCAAAAATTATCACTTTCATTTTATCTTGCTCTAGTTATAATTGGTTTAGTAAGCCTTTTATCTGTAAAAATATTTTTTTGGCTTAATCCTCGTCAATTAACTCCTCTTCTCTCTCCTTCTGACAAGTAGCACAAATTCCTCGTCAATTATAAGTTTCTCAATCTTTCCAGGTTTTGATTTCTTTACTGTTTATATACTAAATAGAGAAGATTTGAGTTACACTTCAATCCGGGCTTCCAGTTATAATATTATATTATTTTCTTTGCGTTTCTTTGCAAAAAAACAATTATGATGTTAGTATTGGTAAATTCTGTCAGCACTTTTCGACGAGTGCTTTTTGGCCACGAGAAGTTTAGCCTAGTTGAACTTAATTTTTACACTTTATTCTCTCACAAAAGTTTATCACTTTTCCCTTAACTTTCTTTGCTCTAAAACACACCAATGGGAAACCCCGCTATCTAACCAAACGTCCATGATATCAGTTCCTAATTGAGTTTCTTCCTTAATTAATTGGGGAAATTTGGTTCTTAATTGGGGCAAAATTGTTCCGTCAAATCAATGGGATGAACCGAACTGAGAAACTAATTCAACAATATAGTTAATCAACTCGATATCAAGTAGCGGCTGCCCTCTTTCGTATAAAACTGGAATTGGAACTCCTCATTTCCGTTGTCGAGAAATACATCAGTCATCACGAGTGGCAATAGCCGAACGCATTTTTTCCTTAGTTCAAGCCGGATATCATTGCACTTTTTCAATACTCGCTAATAATTCTTTTTTTAGCACTCCTAATTTAATAAATCATTGTTCAGTTAAACGATAAATTAAAGGCAACTTGTCCCGCCAATCATGGGGATATTTGTGACTAATTTCTTCTTTTTTTACTACCAAGTTCCTTTTTTCTAAATCAGCAACAACGTGATGGTTAACTACAGTGTAATGTTTATTTACTAATTCGGGGATACCAATTTTCTCGTTAAAACAGCCATTAGGTTTTAACGGACAATCGACTCTGATTTTATTTTTCTTAGCCAAGATAAAATCCTCAGCCCCAAAAGCCGGAGCGAGATGGACCAAGCCCGTGCCTTCATTTTCTTGAATAAATTCTTCGCCGTCTACTACTTGTCCTTGGGTATTTTTGTAATAAGGGTGGTGATAAGTTAGTCCTATTAATTCTTGACCCAAAAATACTTTTTCTACTTTTAAATTTCTTATGTTTTGTTTTTCTAAAAGTGTGATTTTTTTTTTGAGAATTATTAAATACTCCCCCGAGCAATTAACAAGAGCGTAAGAAACATTTTTTTTTACGGCAACTAATTGGTTATCCGGAATAGTCCAAGGCTGAGTAGTTCAAATTAAAAAACTGACATCCTTTTGATTTCATTTCTCTTCCGCTTGTTTGGGGTCAACCTTAATTTTAAAGTAAATCGAAAGGTCTTTTTTTTCGTAATATTCTATTTCGTTTTCTGCTAACGCCGTCTCATGACTTCACGACCAATGAATAGGCCGAAAATCCCGGTAAATCAACTCCTTTTTTACTAATTTTTCAAAAACTCTTATTTGTTCGGCTTCATATTTTTTATCCAGGGTAATGTAATACTTATCATAATCCGTAAAAAGTCCTAATTTTTTCAATTGTTCTCTTTGGTTCTGGGCTTGTTCTAAGGCAAATTGATGGCAAAGCGATCGCAAATCGTTTTTTTTGTCCGGATAAACTTGCAGCATTTTGTGTTCGATAGGCAAACCATGAGTGTCCCAACCAAGTAGAAAGGGAGTATAACGGCCCGCTGAAGCCTGCCAGCGGACAATAATATCTTTAATCAGGAAATTCAAAACATGTCCTAAATGAATTTTGCCATTAGCGTAAGGAGGACCAGAATGAAGAATAAAAGAAGGATTATTCTGGTTAAAATTTAGTATTTTTCGGTAAATTTGTTTTTTTTCTCATTCCTCCCGAATTTTTTTTTCGGTTTCTCAATGATTAGTGTTTTTCAGGGGAAAATTAGTTTTAGGCAAGAGAAGGCTTTCTTTGATTTTCTTGGAGTCCATTTTAATATTAAATTATTGTTATTGCAAATAACAACACACACCACTAGTAAAAACACCGACATAAAGCAAAACATTTAGCAAAGGATTTGGAACTCTTGTGAGAGAATAAAGTGAAAAAATTGTAAAACGACATTATAAAAGAAAGTATTTTTTTGCTTAATATGACAAGCTCTAATCATAATAGTGATTAACTTTCTGAAACAAAAGATAGAAGAACAATCATCATAACCAAGAAATCTTTCTTTTTGAGAGTGTTGTTTAACAAAGTTCAGTAGTTTTGATGAACTTATTGAATATATGGAGACTGACTTTAATTGTCAAAATCGAAAAAAATTCGCCGTTCTTCCTACATTTTGCAAAACTTGTTGGTCAACTAAACCGAATTTTAGAAGAATTATGAGATTATGATAGCGAAGAAATTTTTCATTTAACTAAAAAATTAAAAATGTAATTAGTTCTTATTTTCTTTTTATTGAAAGTCGAAAAAAAAGAAGGGCAAAACAATTACGCTCTTATTAAAGTAGTGTGTGAAAAGCAATGACTTACCCTACTAATTTTAAATACTAGTTTGTTTTTAACATTTAAAACGAGTTGTAGCCTTTTCTTTTCTTATGAAACAAAAGTCGAACGAAGTTAAGTGTTAGATTATGTAAATATTATATATGGTGTTCTCTGACCCAGTGGCTAATATGCTAACTAGCATTCGTAATGCCAATTTTCGTTCGCAGCGAGCAGTTAGTTTTCCCTTTTCTACTTTCAAGTGAAGAATTTGTCAAAAGTTACAAGAGAACAATTTCCTTTTGGAATGTTACAATGATGAGAAAAATCACCAAATTAAAGTGAAAATTAAGTATAACAATCGCAACAGTCGTATTCAGCAATTAACCAAGGTTTCCAAACCTTCGCAACATATTTATTGGGGAATTGCGGAAATAAAAAAAAATTTCCGTAGCCACGGCATTTATATCATTTCGACTTCGGTAGGGCTACTAACACAACAGGAAGCATTAGAAGAAAAACGAGGGGGAAAAGTAATTTGCTTTATTAGTTAGAGTATTATTGGTTGACGGAAAAGATAGTGAAAAATACCTTCTTGGTGCAAGTTTGGCAGTCAGCGTGGACCATATATTACTCTATTTTTTTTGTTCTTGTTTGCTTGATTGAGAGCTCCCACCAATTTCCTCTCCTATCCTAACATTCCTTCGTTCATTTTCTCACTTTTCCTTTAGTTCATTTTCTCACTTTTCCTTTAGTTCATTTTCTATTTCTTTGACAGTTTTTTTAATATTTTTCTCTGAGAAAATCGCACCAGCTATGAGACTGCCAAAGGAAAAGACACCAAGTGCTAGCAGTGACAACCCACCAGTAAAAAACATTCCGCCAAAGGCGGTAGCAGCTATAACTGCAGGTCCGCCCACTTGAGCATTATTAGCTTCGCCAAGAAATAGGCTAGTTAATCTATTATAATATTGACAATCTAAATTGCTACAAATGTTTATATGTTTAAGACGCCTCACGTTATCTTCTAGAATATAATCCCAATTATTCACTTCCTCTTCACTATAAACACAATAAAAAGTATAAGTTTCGGGATTAAGTGATCGTACTAAACTAGGACTAAGCAAGCGAGTATTTAATATTTGTGGCATGATTATTTATCTTTTAGTTTTTTCATTAACCTATCTACCTCTCAGACTCTAATTCCAGCATAAACCACAGGTATCAAGTAATAACCATAAGATAGTCAATGTTCTTTAAATTCACTACCCAGTATTCCCATTATCATAGCAGGAATGGCTAACATACCAAATTTTTTAAAGTTTTCTTTGAGAGTTTCGGTGCTATCTTGAGTTTTAAAGAAGATTTTTTTCTTCAAGTCTTTATCATCAATAGTTTTTTCAACATTAAAACTTAATCTTTGTAAGTTGGTTTTTAAATTAGAAGAGATAAATCCATCTATTACTAACAAAAATCCTAGTAACAAAGCAGTAATTCAAAAAGTCAGAGCTTGATGATTGTTAACAAAGCTTCCCAATTGGAGTTTAAATTTGGTTAAAGCTTGTTCAGTTAGGACGAAAAATATTATGTAAAATCCCAAGGAACCAAAAATATTTAATCTTCAACTTTCAAATTTATCCTTAATCTCATCCAAAGGATTATTAATTTTTTCCTCTTTTTTATTTTTTAATTTAAAGTAGTAAAAAAATAACAAAGGAAACAAGATAAAAACTAATATCCATCCTATTTGATGTTTACGAGAACCACGTCAGCGGTAAATAGTGCTTTCGGCTTTTTCCTTTGCTTTGTCTTGCTCTTGATTTTGTTCGTATTCTTTATTCCTTTTAACTTGTTTGTCAACTTCTTCTTCGGTCGGATTATCAATTTTTTGGGTTAAAAGTTCTATTTTGCTTTCTTGTTCATTTATTCTTTCCTCCGTTTCTTCTTCTCATTCCTCTATCTTAATTATCGTCCTTCC